CGGAGCCACCTCCGGTCATCTTCAACCTCGCGTCCGGCCACCGTGGGCACGCAGGCATAGCAAAACGTCACCAAAAATAACAAATTTTATATAAAAAATCATCTACTAACACCAGGAACAAGAATCCACCATTATTTTTTCAGTAAAAATGCCTTAATAAAGAAAAACGAAAAGAACAAGAAAACGAGCTCAAATAAAAAACTTCACAAACAGCCAGCAAATGATACCATAAATGATCTATGCAACAAGAGGATCAATAATATGTAAAAATGGTGCATGAACAATGGTTAAACAGTGAGAAAACTTGAAAGAAAGAAACCTAGAAAAAAAACTTCCTCAAGGCTCAGTGGGTGGGTGAAACTTGCAATAAACCAACCAGAAACTTTCTATGAACCTCAAGGAGTGTTTTAGGATGCTTATTTTTTATTGAAACTCTGTGAAATGTCAAACACGAATTTGACTTTTGCTCTCACTTTTTCCACTATGTTCTTGCTTATTTTCTCACCAATGTCAACTCTGAAGACTTGTAAATGTTCTTGGGATAATATATGTTGGATTCAGATCAAGAGAAAGCCCAATGGAAAGCTCCTCAAGCCCAATTGGATTTCAAAATTTCACTTTATGGAAATGTGAATAGTGCATGAAATTGTACTTGCCAAGCTGTAAAAATGGCATAGCTGACTTGCATAAGGAGTAGGCTGATCCAAGGGCTGAGAATGGTTCATTGATTTGGTCCCATGGCATGCTTTTGATGTGTTGCTTATTCTTGAAGAAATCTTGAAAATGGCCACCAAGATGCACTAAAACCTCTAATCCAAGGATGGCATTGCATTTGAAATGTCATTTGCACTCAAAATATGCATAAGGTTGGTACCAAGTGTTTTCAAATGAATTAAATATGATTTTTCCCTTTTTAAGCCTTTTTCATGGAAATTCAATTAGAGATTCTTCAACCCAAGCTTCAACCATGACAAGAGATGATTTGGTAATGCAAATGGCCCTATCTGGGGCAAGTTTGATGTTGGAAAGATTTCCATTTGAAGTGTGCAAAGTGGTGAAAATGACCTGTAATCCTGCTTTTCCAAAATACTCCTGCCTTGCAAGCCTCATAACTTGAGTTCTACAAATCAGATGAAGGACTTCTAGTACTCTTTGGAAAGCTAAAATCATGAGGAACAACTTTCATGTTCATAAAAAGTTGAGGAGAAACATCCTTCTAGGTCAAAAATGGCTTGGAAGTTGGTTTACTTTTGTTGACCAAAATCACATTCATCTGAGGACCTGTAACTTGTCTGTATCATAACTTGAGTTCTATAAATCCAATCAAAGACTTCTAGTACTCAAATGAAAGCTAATAACATGCTCTACAAGTATTATGTTGGTCAAAAGTTGAGATGACACTTGTATCTTGAGATAGGTGGTCTTGAAGTTAGGCACTAAGCAGAGGATTTTACACTAAGAACCCTAATTTAGTAACTCCTCACACTCTTACTTCTTGATGAATTGATCTTGAAATGGTATCCCATGTATCTTAACACAACATTCCTTGACCATAAAGACCTGGAATTGAGTCTTAATCCCCTTCAATTTCACAGTTGACTCAGGGTTGACCAGATGAAAACCCTAATTGCACCATCTTCAACTGTAACTCTCCACACTTGTCATAAACACTTGAATGAACTCCACAATGACTCTCAAGGCCTCTAATGAGCTTAAATGACAATCTCCCCCCATGACCATGGGCTTGGGATCCTCAGATGACCTTCAAATGGCCTCCTAGACATGAGGTAAACCACATACACTTATCTGCCTATCCAAAGGGCTTTGCCTTGTCTCTGATGATGATAACCTCCTTATTGACTTGAATACAACCTCTTGATTAGGTTTAGAGCCCTTGACAAATTCCTCTTGTTGCACACACATCTTGATCCCCTGTAAATGCAAAATGTTATGCAATGCAGTATGCTAGAACAATGAAATGAAACATAAGCCAGGTAAAGAAAAGGTTGGGCAAATTTTGGGGTACAACAAATATGAACTTCACCTATGTGAATTTAAAGATGTTATCGTCTCAAAGTAAGAGTTTGAGTTTCTCTCACGATAAATTCACGAGACAAGAAAAACACATGGCCATAACTAGTATTAGATGAGAGATTTTGATGAAGAATCATTAAAGAGTGTGTGTAAGACAACATTGATCTAATCACAAGGAATAACATGTTCAAAGCTTTGCTATATGAAATTTCGATTATATTTTGTGTTGTTCTTACTAAGGTTAAGTTCAAATGGAGGGTTGCTGTAATTGTTAATTAATGAGGGGATTAATTAAATACATAAATATTATTGTGTTCCAATAATAACATGACACCTTGCAAGTGAGTAAAGAGTTGCAATACTTAGTAAAGAGTTGCAACACTTGCTGAAAGTATGTGTTTTATCAATGATCACAATACTTAATAAAAGGTTGCAACACTTGGTGACAGGGTGTATTTTATCATGAGTCGCAATACCTAGTAAAGAGTTGCAACACTTCGTAAAAACATGTGTTTTATCAAAGGTCGCAACCTTGCGAAACAATAACATTTTATTTATAACTAGACTCTTTCGAATACTGAAAACATACCAATTAGAACTCTCCTATTACTTATTTAAATACAAGATTTATTTCTTGCCTACTTATTCATCTATCTTATACAAATTTAAAAATAAACTAAATTATCTTGAGTATTCATAAAGGTACATTAAAAAAGAGTTCTTAAAGGATTATTAAAAACATGTTTATATGCCCGGTTGATCTATTTTACTTTTTCTTTTAGCATCGATATCATCAAATCATGAAGAAGAAAAACTACACACAACATAAGACAAGTTAAGAATAAGTTTTGGTTGAAGCTTGTGATTAAACACAAATATTATTGAAACAATTCTAAGAAATTAATATTGCATGCACCTTTATTTTAAAAATATATATAATAAAGGAAACACAAAAAAAAATTACAAAGTCATCACAAATCAAGATTTCTAGCAACAGATTAGTGACTGTTTGTTTAAGAGATAATTGTTATTGTTTGCATGTAGGAGAGAAATGAATATGCTATTCACTCATCTTTCTTTTATCGTAGTTTGAGATTCTATTTAATATTTTAGATTAGATTTTTAATTTTGAGATTCTATTAATATTTTAGATTAGGTTTTGACAGTTTTCACAAAAATGTTTCATATTCTTTTTTCTTCACTAAAATTTGTCTATATAGAATTTTTTTTTCAATAATATTTTAATGAAACATATTTTCAGTGGACATCTTTCTTTTATCATAGTTTAATTCTATTTAATTTTTTAGATTAGGTTTTTAATGTGACAGTTTTTACAAAAATATATTCTATTCTTTTTTCTTCACCAAAATTTGTTTACATAAAACTTTCTTCAATAATATTTTCAATGAACATTCAAGAAGAAGTGTTATGAATACACATATATGTGTATGTCCATTTTCCTCCTATATTCTTTAGCATGATATAGAACTCTCATTAGAGGATTAATGAATCATCTTAATATTTGTTAGTTATGTTACTAGCTTCTAGTAACCTTCACTTCTAGTACTAATATGATAGTTCACATATTACTAACCTATTAATTTTTATTCTATAAATATAACTCATTGAATTGCAAAAGAGAATATAATCCAAAGTTTATTTTTATTTTCTTCTATTTTTGTCTCCTTCATATCTACTCTTCTAGTAATTTCTCTAATTTTGATTAATTATTATAATGATATTTGGTAAGCCAAGACATTATAGATTGAGAAAAATAATTCAAAGGCATGACTCCTCATTTTTGTCATTCACACAAATCTCAACTCACTAAGTTAACAAACCTAATTAGTCAAAATAATTGTAGAAATTAAAAATAAGTTCAATCAATATTCTTTTACAAGACAATAATCTTGATGCATAAGAAAATTCCAAATACTCAAAATGTAATTCAATGACTAAAAATGGTCCCAAAGTAAATACCAACACTTAACAAGGATAGGACACAACTTTTTAATCCTACATAGGAAGGCCATGGAAAATGATTCCTATAGAAAAACAAAAATCAAATGTCAGTGATTGTATACATAAAAATAATGAAGAAATGAAGCATGATGTCTTGAGAATAATTGTTGAAGTTATAAAGTGTGACACATTCTCAAATGCCCTTTTATACCATTATACATTATATAATAAAATATACTAGTATGTTGCTAAGAAATTCTCCACTATGTATTTAACTAAAAAGAAATCTAAGTTAGGTCAAAAAAATTAATTTGTAGGAAATGAACAAGTTTGATATTTTAACTAAACCACTCATTGTATATGAAAAACTTTAAAGCATGAATATGAATGAATAAATGTCATTACTTTCAATACTTGGTGAACCTGTTTCTTCCTATGCTTGAAGGGTCAAGTTGTGGTTATACACATGCATGAACCTTTCACCATATGAAAAAGTCACTGATCATAGTATTTTTTTTCACATAGTTACTGACATGTATATTTACACACACTATGTTTGGCATAAGAAATGTTACACATGGCATGAACTCAAAGGTGCTAGAGAGAAGGGGAACCAAGGACAATGAAAGAACTGAAAAGGAGACAGCCAATGGATTGTAAACCCTATTCACGCCAATTCATGCAGTGAGTGCAGGACTCAACAAAATGACAAAATTGTAAACAGATAGCATCTCCTTAAACTATGTTCACTAGTGGTCAATTTGTTTACCATTACCAAGATATAGCCACTCACTTCCTCATGGTTTTGCACACACTACATGAATCTAACACCACATAGAATCTTTTAAATAATTAAATATTCATCTTGGTTATGTTTTTAGGTTTAGGCATGTAAAAAGGAAAAGTATAATGAATAATGAAAAGGGTAACAGCTAAAAATTGAAATGTAAGGAAAAACATTGAAAGATTGAATTTTTATTTGAAGTGGCTTACTTGGGAAGAATTCAATTCTTATTGCATTTGTTGTTCTTCTGATCTGAATGCTGGCTTCCAGTTCCATTGCCGTAGAAAAGTTGCAAACGCGCGTCGAAAAGAGGTGAGAAATGAAGTTGTTGATCCATGGTTGGAGGAGGAGGAACAGGAGGTCCTGTGAAGAAACTAGGTAGATTATTGGATGATGATGTTGTTGATGATGATCCATGATCCATGGCTGAGAACCTCTGGAAATGAGGCAGAAGTGAATTGGACTGAAGGGTCCCCCTATTGTAACCAACAAGGCCCGAAGAAGATATTGTGAAGTTGAGATTGTAATTGTCATGACTTCCAGTTTGATGTTGATGATGAGAAGATGACGATGAAGATGAATTAACCACGGAAGGTTGCATAAGATGTTGTTGTTCGGACATGAATGGAAAATGCTGCAGCTGAATCATATCTGACTGGTTTTCATTTTCGCTACTGAATGGTGAATGTCCTGAGAAACCACCGTGATGAATCTGATTATCATGAATCGATCCGTTGTTACTACTACCGATTCCGCCGGTGAGTAACTCAGTAAAAGAAGCTGTTTGAGACATGTTCTGATGATGTTGATGCTGAGGTTGTTGATGTTGTTGATGTTGTTGTTGTGCAATGCTAGACTCATTTTCTTTACTTGTCTCAGAAGTGCTGCTACAAGCAGACTTAGACAAACAAAGATTCTTGTTCAGTCTTTCATCATCAAACTCAAACTCTTGTTGCCTCTTCTCATCACTCTTCGCATCAATTTGAGCGAACACGTGGTTGAGAGAAGGCAACTCCGAGATAGAATCCGAAGCAGCCTTGATTAACCAATCAACCGCTTTACTCGGTTGATCATAACCAAGTCTATCTTGAAGATCATAAAACTGAATAGCCGTTGTAACCGAAAGCCTAACTCTTCTATCTCGTAAACCCTTCGAAGTCATCACTTTGCTGTGTCTATCTTTTCCACCCGAACCTCTCGACACTCTAACGATTCTCGAAGAGTTTTCTTCCTCCTGCTGCCGCTCCTGCCAGCTTCTCTGAAAATCACTCCCAGTAACTCCTCCAACATTCTTCCTTCTACCAGAACCTAAATTCTTGATGCTAGAATTGTTTAAGTTGTTTACAACATTTCCGAGTCTCGGAAACTTGCATGCTTGAATCTCATCCTCCATTTCACAATCATGCCTTAGAAAGAGAAACACACTCCTATGGTATGCAAGTAGTTTGGCTTAATAAATAAGTAGTATGGCTGTATAGTGATAAAAAGTGCTTTTTATTTAATTTTATAAAAAATTAAATGATAATGATGCATCACAGTCTAAGTCAGAAACCCTTGTTTAAGGCTTATTTTTTTTGTTCAGTTTTCAAAAGCAAAAGACTGATTATGATTAGTAGGTTTCATTCAGAGCTTCACCTCCTGCAAACACAGCCATAAAAGCAGCCCCAAATTAATTTTAATAATTTTATTATCATTCTCCAAAACAAAACAAAAACAAAATATATAATAAAAATGAATAAGCTATAAGAACATTGGATCTAATTTTTTAATTAAAAAAGAAACTAGTGAAACATTATTTTCACAGCACATAGATCTGAGAATCCCTAGAAATCCATTAATAATTTGCAGAATAAATCAATAAATATATGGATAATAATAATAATAATAATAAAGGTAGGTTAGTTTATTTAATTCATAGTAAGAGGATTAGAATGAAACCTTTTCATGTGTTATTTGAAAAATTGTTGAATTTTCCAAAACACTCTTCATGTGTAGCTTCTCAAGTGCACCATGAAGTGAAAAGCTAGAAGAAGAAAAAAGATAGTAAAGAGAGAGAGAAGAAGATGAAAGAGTAGTTTGAAGGGTGAGGATTGAAACACGTATAGTTAGGGTGTGTTTGAAAGTGTGGAAAGAAGGAAGAACAAAGTGATTAATTGTTCGTTCGATCCAACAAAACAAGACAATCAAACGGGCTTATCGAGAACTGTGCCGTTTCTACACTTTAGTCGTACTATCTTCATTTCTTCACATTGATAATTCGTAATGAAAAATTAGATACATCGATAATGCAACAAGAATAATCAAAATAATTTGTTAAATTTAGAAATGGACAAAACATATAAATTGATGAAAATATTTAAAAATTAATCGTTAAATTTATCTTTAATTAGATGATAAGAATTAACGGTGTTCGTTTGAAGAATTAAAATATTAATATAATAATTTTAAGTTAATAGATCAAAATAATTTTAAAATTATATAATTTATTAATGAATATTAAGTTTTATGTATTAAGTGGATGTTTGGATTTGAATGGAAATTAATATGATGGTATCAATTTAAGTATTATATGAATGCTATAAGAATGTCTGCGTGCTTCAATCCTAAGTGTTATAGATGAACTTGTTGTTGCAACTTAGAATTGGAGTCGCAGTGTTCCACATAGTCGTTTCTCCGTGGGTATTTCTCATGTTTATCTTTGTCATAAGACTTAGAGTCGTCGTGCTCTATTTAGTCGTCCCGTTGTGGATATTCTTTTCCTTGCTAACTGTACCTTAGTTTAGAGTTGTCGCACTCTATGTAGGTGTCTCATCGCAGACATTTACTTTTCCCCTGGAACCTCGACCACAGTCAAGAGTTTCTTACCCCTAGTTAGGTGAACTACGATTACTATGATTCTATCCTAGTTAGGATACGTAGGCAGAAGATGCGATATCTTTGCGAGCAAATTTAGAAGTTATCCTTAGGCTTTTATCTCAAATTAACCTTATACCCTAAATCCCAAACCATAGCAAACTTTTAGCAAGCTTAGCATACAAACATACAAAAGATTCATGTAGAGTACTACAGATGTTTAGGATGTGAAACATATACCCTAGGCATAACCAACCCCGATCCCTGATCTCTTAGCGTTGTTGTTACATTGTGCAAAAGGTCTTTCTTTCTTTAACCTTTCCTTTAGATAAATCAAATTCCGGTTGTGAATTTAATGAACTAAGGTTCAAGTTAATCAATAGCTTGGTATCACAATTGTCACCGCAACAGAAATGACGACTTCACTGGGGATACAACTTAAAACTTGAGGGTTTAGCCAATTTTGTGTGATTGTATGAATACTTGCTTACATGTATATTTGTGAATATATTTTGTATTGTATTGTTGTGAACATTGGATATCATGAGTGGTGAGATAAGTCCTAACCTGGACTTGAGTGACACATATGATAGGATGTGATATGAGCAATAGTTGACTGTTGGGAGTAGTCATAACAAGTTTGACATATGATGTAATCACGCTCAGTTGAGACCTCCTTGAGATGATTGATGATGTATGAGTAGTCATGCATTTCATTATTTGTTTCAACCTGAGAGTCCATGAAACTAAGGACCTTTAGTAACACTTTTACCCCACTAAGATTTTTAGGACGTGGTGCGGAAACCATGAGGGAGTAGTCCCGAAATAGTTGTCACGCGATACTACACTCAGACGAGTTTATCCCGAGAATATTTTTGACCCACGTGAGTAGTCATGGTGGCCAATAATATCCGAAGGATCTACTATGACTCTGGGAACTTTGATAGAATCTGTTCGGCAGGTACAATCAACCTATAGTACAAATCCTTGGGGATGGGTAGACCTTTTGGCTTCATGCTGTGACTTTTGAACCTAAGGAGACCCCTTGATATGTGTATTGTATTTGTGAATACTTGTCCACGTGCATATTTGTGTATGTCTGTGAATACTTGTGTTCTTGTGTTTGTGCATTGCATTCACGTCATATTCCGCATTCATGAGTAACCTGATGGTTTCAAGGAATCCTGTTGTTCTATTCCTTCGCAAAAATAATAGAGATATTAGATATTTGAATCAAAACTTTTCAGTTTTTCAAAAACGTTTACACCTTCCCCTTGAGTTCCTTGAAACCATTTGGGCTTGCATTCTACATTGCATCCACGTATTGTTGCATTTTCATTTCTCAGCCTTGCGTCTCTTTGTCTCCCTCTTGTTTAGAGAGAGAGAGGGGATACCTAGCACATATCTAGGACAAATGGCAACAATGGACGAACTTTTGAGAGCTCAAGAAACTCAAAAAGAGGACATCATAATTCTCAAGTGTCAGATGAATTGGGTTCTAGAGACATTGCAGAACATGATAAAGAAAGAAGGTCACTCTCACCATGTTGCGTCCAGAGAAACTAGGGAGGCATTATCTCCGATGGCTCCTCCAACTCGAGGATGTCCTTGGTATCAACGACCAAATAACCGTTAATCGCGTCAGCACGTCCGACAAAAACCAAGGAAACCAGAGAGACATTTCAGTCTATTTCCAATGTCATACAGTCAGATACTGCCTGACTTGATCCAAGGTGGATTGATAATACCAAAGGAGCTGAAACAAGTGATTCCTCCTTACCCTCTACGCTTTGATACCAACTCCAGATGCGGCTATCGTGTTAGGGCACTAGGGCATTCAGCTGAAGACTGTAAAGTACTCAGAAACGAGCAAGAACGTGCACCTGGAGAAATTTCACACAAGTCAATATCTGACCAAATGGCCAAATATCAGATGATTACTAGAAAAGTCTCTCACCACTCAGTGTTTGTTCCTTCTCAAGGTTCTCAAAGCCAGAGCTTGAACAAGAAGAATCATGTCAGGAAAAATAAGACTTACGGTAAACCAATTCCAGTACCACTAAGAAAAATTTACCTGCCATTAATTTAGAACTCGCTAGTGACTCCTCGACTATTCAATCATGTGCCAGGGCCATGGCACAATGCAAACCTGACCTGTGAATTTCATAAAGGAGCTGAGGGACACAACTTAGATGCATGTCTGGCATTAGGTTTTCTTGTGCGAGAGCTGATCAATGACAAAGACTTGATCCTCGAAGAAGACCACCCAGAAATTGAATGCGGATACCATACTGGGATAATAGGGAACCTAGTTGAAGAGTGTAAAGGTTTTAAATTGAGATTGCAAGAGTTGCTGAAACCTCAGGAGGATAAATCAAATGACAGTGCCGTAATTTCATAATCTAAAGGAAAAGGACCCGCGAGACCTCTCATAATTCTATACCACAAAAAGCAAGTGGTTGTTGAAGGTGTTTCCCCGCCTAGGCCTGAAATCTGAAGTCTGTCGAAGTTTAATCCCCTAAAGCTGGCAGTTGTAGACTGTTTCAGTATTTTGTTGTATTTTCTTTGCATTTGTATTGCTTGAAAGCTGTTGTTCATTTTGAATTGGCAAGATTAATGAAATGTTTGTGCATCTTTTGATTAAGTCCATTCGTTTCACTCTTTCTCTTTCCTTTCTTGTTATAAGAAAACGAAAAATGCAAAATTTTCTTTTCTTTACCAAACTGATGTTTAAAGCAAAGATTGGGGAGAATGATGAAAACTATGTCCATAACTGTTGTTGATATACTTTCAATTTAACTTTGTCGATGATGTAAGGCATTGTTTCAATCCCTAAACGCTAGAGTAATAAGGAAGATAATCCCTCGTTAACCCTTTCGAGCCCAGAAGTAGGAGTTTTCTTTCTTTTAAAAAAATATTAGAAAAACTTTAAATCTTAAACTTGGGGTAGGGTAGTTCTCAGTTTAACTTGGGTATACATTTGAATGCAAGAACTTCACTAAGACACCTGTTAGCTCCCTTAAATCCATTGAATAAATGTCGTACAAGTTGTTCCAAAAAGTAATATCTAAGGAAGGACTATTAAGAAATCCCTACTTGAAGAATGAGTCGAGTCCCTTTCAAGGAAAAAGCCAAGAAAGATGGGAAGCTCATAACCTTACCTTATACAAAAAGGCTTGTATGGCAATCAAAAGAGGAATTCATAAATCTTTCAATATGAAAGTCCTCAATAGAAAAAAAAGTTATCAAATACTGTAAGGGAGTAGTGACTACTTTAGGTTTGTGTACCATCGCCAACTTGTCACTAGTTCAATTCCTAAGCCTGTAAGAACCTGAATGTGTAATTTGAGTTAACTGAACATAGGACTGGAGTTCATCGTGCAGAGTGGGTGGGAACAAATAACTTTGAGCCTTTATCTTTTGTTTCATGAACCGTGAACCGAGCCACGTTACAACCCTTAAAAGACCTAATTGAGGTAAGGTTGTTTTGAAAGCATATTACAACAAGGTTGGGTAACCTGACTCCTAATGATCTTTGGT